CCCCCCCCCCCCCCCCCCCCCCCCCCCCCCCCCCCCCCCTTCTTTTTTTTTCCTGTGCCATATTTAACCTTTATGTTGCAGTTGTGCCATCCGACAGTTTTGCAGCCAAAAAAAACCCAACCCAAGCCAAAGGCAAAGCGCAGCTCGGATACAGCAGCCACCCCGGCTAGATCTCAGCTGAGCGCTCATCTCTCCCGAGCGGCGGACAAAGCGATGGATGAAGGAACTGGAACCGCTCGGAGAAAATGATTTTGCAGCCAATGTTCTTAAGCAGTCTCACAGAAGAGAGGGAGCGAGCGGAGAGCGCTTCTGCTGCATCACTGGGCGCATTCAAAGGAAGGAGTCAGCGTTTCCTGCACTGCCAAACGTTATGGATGATTTTTTTCCTTCTGTCGCCTTTCCGTACAGGTTTTCTTAATATTCTTCTTTCCCCCCTCCTTCCCGTCATTTTTTGAACGATGATGATTTAATCGCAGCCAGCCTCAGACGCCGGTTTCTCCTTCAGAACCAGCTCTCGCTATTTGTTGTGATCCCCGTAATAAAAAGCGAGAGAAACCGCGAACAGATGGCTCTAGATATCGCAGTGCCGCTGGCTTTGTTCTCCTATTGATTTTAAAGGCTCCTTTTTCCCATTTTTTTTTTCCCCGATTTTTTTTTTCCCTCCCCCCCTCCCAAGTTCTTGATGGTACTGAGAAATGAGGACCTATCGCTTTTAGCCTGTTTCTGTCGCGGCGCCTATGGAGATAACTTTATTGACTTGATCGTTCGCTGCCCGACCCGCCAGCAGAGCGCCGGAGCCCCGGGGGGGGCGGAAGACCCGCGCCCGCTGCCGGCCGACCCCGCCGCCTCCCCTCCTTCCCTCCCCCGCTAATTCATCAGCCGCTCCCGGCCATGAAAATGCTCCTGGTCCGCAAGTTCCGGGTGCTGATCCTCATGGTGTTCCTCGTCGCCTGCACCATGCACATCATGATCGACCTGCTGCCTCGCCTGGAGCGCCGCGGAGCCGAGAACCGCCCGGGCTGCTCCTGCCCTCCGCCCGCCGCGCCGCCCCGCGCCGCCCCGCGCTGGCCCAGCAAACACACGCTGCGGATCCTGCAGGACTTCAGCGCCGAGCCGGCCTCCAACCTCTCCTCGCAATCGCGGGAGGCGGCGGAGCGGGCGGCGGGCGGCGGAGGGGACGCGGCGGCGGCGGCGGCGGGCGGGGAGGGGGGGGCGACGGGGCGGCCTCGGCGGCTCATCGCTCCCGGAGCCCCGCGCCCGCCGCCCCCCGCCCATGCCGCGCCGCTGGCCGCCCTCTTCCAGCACCCGCTGTACCGCGCCGCCCTGCCCCCGCTGGCCGACGGCGACCTCCTCTTCAATGTCAACAGCGACATCAGGTTCAACCCGCGGGCGGCCGAGCAGAGCGAGTGGTGAGGATCGGGGCGGGGGGGGAAGGAGGGGGGGCGCGGGGTCGGGGCGGAACGCGGCGCGGTGCTGCCCTGCGGCGCGGCCTTTTTGAGGGGGTGTTCCCGAAGAATTGGTGTCACGGCTCGGAGTTAAAGGGAGGGATTCGGGTGTCGGGGGGGGCGAGAAAGGGAGCGGAACCGTCTGCAGGCGTCAGCGGTTGTTTTCCTTCCAAATTTGCCCTGAAATACGGGACGTAACGCAGCAGTGCCGGGAGCAGAGGGTCCCCAGGATGCTGCCTGCAGCTGCAGCCAAAGGCAGATGCTAGTGGAAAAGCAGTGCGAGGCCGGGCTCAGGGACAGCACGACCCCCCTGCCCCGCACCTTCTCATTTGCAGGGGCTGAGCAGTTCGTCCTGCCACCAGCAGCCACACTTTTCTCCAAAGTGAGGTCTAATGTCACAAAGTTCTGCCTTCGGGCTTTGATTGGAGCTCCAGTTTTCACCCTCAGTTAATTCCTGGTGTCCTGGCACCTCAGCAGCCCTCCAGCCTTCAGAGTGCTCCATTGCCTCTGCAAATGTTTTGTTGGCTGGTGAGAAACGCTGGGAAATCTCAATGAGTGAGAAATCCAAAGGCTTGTCTAATCCAACAGCACCCTCTTCCAAACACGCTGACATTGTAGTGTTTAAACAGCTGCATTGTACTGTGCAAAAGCTTTGTGAAGCTGCAGAGCAGCCAGCAGGATCTGAACATTCAGAGGGAGAGGATAAATATCTCCGATTTCTATCCCCTGCACGTGTCAGCAGTCCGGGCTCTTCTGCTTAACAGAAGAGGCTGTGGGGAAAACCTGACAAAGTTCTGGTTTCCCTGGGAAAAAAAAGAAAAACGGCCACAAATGTCAGAACATCAAATGATGGCTAAAAGCATGGGGGACCTTTGGGTGGGAGAAATGTGGCTGTGTCCCATAGGTGGAAGGTGAAGCTGTCCCTATTGGCCACAACACAGCTGCTGCTGTGTGTTTGCCCCCTAAGTTCCCCCAGCAGACATGAAATGTATCACTCACGTGTCATTCTCACAGTCCTTTTCTGTATCAGTATGGTGCTGCTAAGGAAGGGGTGACCTACTGCAAGTTAGTTGCTCTTTAGCAGCAGGCTCAGTTGAGCTGGTTTCTTCTTATTCTTCCTGATTAAAAGGAAGGAGTGGGAACACTGGGTCCGACAGGTCAGGTTTCTGCTGAACCTACTTCCAGCCCCAGCTCTGTTAAATAAAACTTGAGGATGATGTTTTCCTTTGAGTCCAACTTGTAAGAGACGTTTGTAACATAATGCAATCTAAACACAACATTGCAGCTCCACATTTTGGCTGTGTGAGGGCCTCTGTGAGTGCTCAGTTATGTCACTGTCAGTTTTGCTCCTGACTTGCATGGGCTTCAAATCAGGCATGAAGAGTGGAGGTGCCAATCTGGCTTCCCCCACCCGCACGGCTCTCCCTCCCCAGCCCCATTTCTTGGTGCCTGCTACAAACTGTAATGTTATTTCTTTCTCTTCATTTATGGCTTTTTTTTTTTTTTTTTTCCCCTCTTTCCCATGTTTGTTTTTGGTGGTAGGCATAATGAAGGGAATGAAGAGTTTTTGCCAACTGGAGAAACCTCCATAGACTCCTACCCAAACTGGTTAAAATTCCACATTGGCATCAACCGGTACGAGCTGTATTCCAGGCATAACCCTGCAATCGAGGCTTTACTACAAGACCTGGTCTCCCAGAAGATCACCAGTGTTGGTACGTTTGGGCATTAATGGCTTTTATGGCTATTTGCTTGTAGTTCAGATCTCGCTGCTGTTTGAATATTAATGGCTGTTTTGCACGACTTCTCTCTGTGCCTACAACATTGCTTTCTGACTTCTGGGCTCATTTTCCTTGTTAAACATAAGGAGATATTGCCAGCTCTGTATCACCTGAATAATTGAAAAGTCTGCCAGGAAAGCAAGCCCCATTCATTTCTGATGTCCTCCGGTTATCAGGCTGAAAGCGCCCTGTTCAAAAAAAAAAAAGGAAGAAAAGGTTAATGAAAAAATCACAGCCAAAAGCAGATAGCATCCTGCCTGAGCAAAGCATCTGCTGCTTGCTGGTCATTATTTCAGGCTGCGTCTGGAGGGAGGGGAGCAGCAATGAGCCACAGCCCTGCAGCCATGCAGGGAGCATCGAGCGCGGGGGCTCGGAGGGGCTGCATCCCCCTGGGCACAGCTCAGCTCTGCTTGTTCCACTCGGAAGTCCACAACAGGGATGTGCTCCTGTCAGCCTTTGGCTCTGGTTAAACAAGGTGACAGAGTTTGTTGTTGTTTTTTTTTTTTTTCTCGGGGGCTGTTTAATGACAGCATGTGTCTCTTCAAATTTAGCTGCAGAGCTGCACAGGGAGCGAAAAAAACCCGCAGTCTGAATGAAAGCCCTGCGCTGCTAAACAAGCACAGCCCGTGGGCTGCAGGGGCAGAGCTGCACAACCACCGGCCTCCAAGAAAATGGAGAGCCTTGTGCTGACCACAGAACTGCTAAGTCTGTTTCAGGGGCATGAAATAGCAGCTCTGTAAAAGTGCTGATTGCACGGAGCCTCTGCGGGATGAGGTCACCAGGTCTTTAACCCCGCGAGGCAAGAATTCCCCTGGCTTCAGCAGGAAATGGTCCCTGCAAGAATAGCACCCGTAGGCCTATGGCTGACATTTCCATCACGTGAATCCCAGCGGCTGCTGAGCAGAACTAAGGGAGCTCCTTGGTCACCAGGAATGGGCTGAGCACAGATAGCCGGGGTGGGGGAAAGACAGGATGCCCCGGGAGATCAGGTGCAAGCACGGCTGTGCCCTGGATGAGTGCATGGCTGGGAGCTCTGCTCTGAGCTCTGTGGAGTGGAGGCCTGCTGCTGCAGTGCATAGTGCCCAGCTGCTGCCCTGCAGGTGGGGGGACAGGGACTGGGGGACAGCTGGGCTCGAGAAAGAGGACAAACACAGGCTCGTTCTCTGTCCCTACAGCTCTGGATTGGAATGATTAATTAAGGAGCACAGGTGTGATGGCTAAGCTGTGCATTCTCCCATCTCTGGCTCAGAGATGGCACTGCAGGCAGCAGCACACTGCCAGTGCTTTGCCCCGCATGCACACAGTGATTCCTGCAGTAGCAGTGATGTGTGAGCAGAGTCTGAGCCAGCTTTTTTCAGCATTAGCATTGCTCTGTGAGCGCATCCTTTGGCAGACAAGAAGTGCTCTGCCCTTCCCTGCCCCGAGCAGTGAGCGGGCTGTGCCTGGCTTCTTGCAGGGGGGATGCTCAGCCAAACTGCCCTCTGGCTCAGCTGCTGAGGTTCACGCAAAACACATCAGCCCCAGCCATGGTTTGGACTGAGTGGCTGCTGAGTGTCCCTTCTGCAGAGCAGTGAGATGGTTAAGGTTGATGTAGGGATGCTCAAGAAGGGAGATGGGAAGGAGAAATAATAGGTTAGCGCTCACTCTTTGCTCAATTTGAGCTTCTGGGCATGTTGCTTAACCTCTCTATGCTTCAGTTAACCTAGCAGCAGCATTGTTATAATAAAAAATAGGAGTGAAATCCTGACAGTGGTGACGTAAGTGGAAGTTTTGTCATTGGCTTCCCTGAGGCCATGATTTCACCAGTGCGTCGTAAGGATGTGTCATGAGGTTTTCATTAATTATGGTTTCGATAGAGCTTTGAGATCCATGTGGAGAAAAGGCCAGAGCCCGCAGAGGAGGACTGATGATTAACAGCCATTTCCTATGGGACTGTCTCTTTGCTAATGTTTGAACAAGTTGGGGCCTCTTATGCCCCTACATGAAAGCACAGAACTGTGGTTTCTATCAGCGATTCAGTATTACTTCCATAAGCTGAAATATGAAGTACATTTGATAGAAGTATCAGTCACTGTGGGAATGGGCAGCAATCCCAACCTAACATTGAGCTGAGAGGGGGAAGAAGACTTCTGCCTCTGCCCAGCTCAAGAAGCCAGATAGAATGGAGCTGGGAGCTTCCACAGCCTCTGTGGGGCTTCGGGGCTCTCGGTTGGGTTGCAAAGCAAGGAGAGCATCTTGCTAATATACTTCTTTTAATCCATCTTTTATTTCCTGTCGCAAATTCTTAGGATGTTTAAAAATATGTTTTAAAATAACATCTGCCATTTTTCAGCTTTACTGCAGAGCCACAGCAGGGATTCAAAAGCATGTAAGCTGATTAATAAAGAGTAATATATTTGACCAAAGGACATTTATAGGACTTTCACAGTCTTTTGAATATTCCTCCATATTTTCCAATTGGACTGTGCTTTTCTTTATCCTCTTTGCTCTCTGTTCATTTTTTTTTTTTTTTTTTTTATTTTCTGAGGCAGCAGCAAAGATTCCAGGTTAGAAGTAAAAATAAATGGGACTCTTTGTAGCACCCAATCTTCAGGCTCCTTTTTGTAAGTAGGACAATTAAATACCCAGGCTTACATGCATTAGATGAAATGGGATATTGCTCTATCCAGTCTTTTCCCAGCATTCAGATTGTGGCTCTAATAGAATTAGGTGATTTGCCGTGTGGGTTTTTGATACCTCCAGTAATTAGATCCGAACTGCAGCTGAACAGCTTTCTTCACCACGTCGCACTTTCCCTGCTCTCTTTGCATTATTTATGGAGGAGAGTGGTGACCAGATTGATCCTGCCCCATCTATCAGCACTGCTCACACGGCTCCGTAATGTGCAGCGTTGTTTTAAAATGAAAACGGTGACAGAAGCAATTCCCAAGAGCAGGGAGCACCAAGGTGACATTTTCTTGATGTTAAAGTTTAAATGGAACAAAAGCATGGATGGGAAGGAGAGCGTCGCATTCAGCTCCCACAGTGACACCTAGAGCTGGCCTTGGAAAGGACAAGGTTACCCAGAGCTTTGAAGCTGAGGATGTGTTCTGTGCCCTGCATCAACAGATGCAGCTCCTACTCATTCTGAGCAGCATAAAGGGATAGCTCTTAATTTGATTTAATTCAGTGAAAATTTCCCCCTGCCATAAATAGGAGCCTGGAGAGAATTGTTTTCCACTGAGCACCAAATTCCAATTTGCAGAGGAAGCACACGCACAGGCAACTGCGTGCTTCCTTTGCCTTTCAGAACTGTTTATTGCACGCATCAATAATAGCCATGCTTATTAGATATTCTCTTGCATATTTACAAAACGGCTGTGCATAATTGCGCGGTGCTGTCAGCAGTTTAACAACAAATACAGCATGGTGCATTGTAGATCTTCATCTCTCACGTGTTCCTGTCCCAGAGAGCTGTGCTGAAGGACTGTGGTTGAGCAGAACAGGCTTGGGTGATCTCTGGGTTGAGTGAGTTGGGTTTGAGTTTTTGATTCTTTACATTCTCTGGCTGGAAAGATTTGGAAACATAGCTGACTGGTTCATTTCTGAACCTGCAGTGCCTTCAGTTTGTGCAGGCAGTGATGAGGCAGTAAGCATGAGGTTGCTCATGCAGTGAAGGAGTGCTGCAATTCAGCAAGGTGGACTCTGTTTCAACTCAGGAAAAAGAAAAGAAAAAAGAGAGTAGGCAGTAAATACTAAACCTAAACTCTGGCGCTGAAGGAAATTATAAAAATCTCATCAAAGGAAAGGGAAAAGTGCTGCTGAAAACGTAATGCAATGTAGCACCATTGATTTACTGTATAAGGAAACAGTGAATCAGCCAAGAATCAACAGATTGATTAAATGTACAACTCCAGATGAAAAGAAAGGACTTACAGTGTACAACAAAGCCACTGAATGGTTTCACAGATCTCTTCCCTGTCAGAAATCTTTACTATCTTGACTAAAGCAAGAAAGGTCTTTAAAAACAAGTTAGCAGGATTGGCTGATCAAGAACAAATTAAGAGATGATGATGGTTTGAACTCGATTTGAAATCTATTCTGTGCAGCTTGTGTGGGGCCATGTCTTTAGCCTGGGGCAGAATACTGCTTGTTAAAGCCAGTCATAGAGTCATAGAGTCACAGAATGGTTTGGGTTGGAAGGGACCTGTAGGACCATCTAGCTCCAACCCTGTGCTATAGGCAGGGACACCTCCTGCTAGATCAGTCAACATGTTCATGCTAGATTTAAGCTTGATCTATAAAATAGGATCTGAATGGATCTGAACATCTATTTCAGACATCTGTTCATCTTTTTGACTTTGACTTTGGCTTTGACTGGATCGTGTTGCTCAGGCATTAGCACTGCATAAATAACCGAAACAAAGTGTTCAGAGGTCCTTTTGGAGCTCTCACTTTCCATCAGAAAACCATATAGGCAAGAGTTATCATGCAGCAAAACTGAACTGGAAATCCAGATCAATTCCTTTTGGGTCAAATCACACTGGCCATCACTGGATCTCTACCGAGTCTGTACTAGATGATTTAGAAGAGGGAGATAGAAACCATGTAGCATACAGGTGTAGAAACAGGCTTGAAAGGATAGGCAGTGTATCTTTTACACTGGTGGTATCTGTGGATCAGGAGGGAAATTCATTGGGAAGTCTTGTATTGATGAGTTTTCAGGAGGAGGAGGAGGGGACGGGATGGAAGAATAGCAGACATGGCGTGTAGCTATGTCAAAAAACTCATTAGGTGCAAATACTGAAGGCATTTTTAGAGGCATGATTCAAAGTCCATCATAGAAAACAGAAAGAATCTCTCTGATTTCACTGCTTTTGGACGGACTCTCCAGGAGAAGGATATCTCAGGGGATTTTTTGCAAAGCCTCCTAAACTTGGGAAGATTTCTAATCACGACCAAAAGATCTTGCCCTGGGTTAAGAGGAAAGTTTAATGCTGCATTCCCTTTCTTTCTATTTTGGGGAAAAAGAAAGATTTTTAATTGCCTGGAGGTAAAATAGCAACGGTTCTATTGGGATTTGGTTTGAACACTGTGCCAGTACGTTCAGATGCTGCAGAAGAGGGAATTTGAAGTATTCCTTTTCCAGAGCTGCTCTTGTTACAGCAGCTTCAGAAACCTTAAAAAAAAAAAAACAAACATGAAATCAGAGTTTGACTAGAGGCTCCCTTTGGAATCAGAACAGCATGACATTGTGAGACCTTTTAAAAATTATATAAGCTTGCTGATCATAGACAAGACAGATTGCAATGGCGTAGCATCTTCCAGTTCCTTGAAAAATTGTGTATTCTGCTCCAGGGAATTCTAAATTCTTCAGAAACGTTCTTAATGGGCAGTAGGTGACAGCACAAGGACATCTGCAGATAAGCAAACACTGTTTGTCCAGGATAAGTTCCTGGAAGATGACGTGGCTACTGCTGTTTGCCTGGGATGACCAAAGGGATGTATTTAATTGAGGTTTGAGCAGGAAAGAAACACAGCTTAGAAAAGGAGAGAGAAGCCAGTAGTCTGCTGTAACAGTAAGGGTCAAGGAATGTAATCAGGCCTGGAAGTCCTGGTGAGCCATCTCCAGTGAGACCTGCTCTTCTCCAATTGCCACCCCCATGATTTGGGCACCTTCCTCAGGCTCTGCTCCCCATTCTACTTCATTTAGAGATGCATTAAGGATCTTACGGGGTTCAGCAGGATAGTCTGGGCTCAGCACCGTGTGTTTCCCTCTCTTTAGGGAGGGAACATTAGGTGTTAGACTTGCTGCAATCTTTGAATCTCCTCTGGCCTGTCCAATGACTAGCTGAAGTGGGAATGTCTGGAGCCTAAAGAACATGGAGGGCAGCCAACACGGAGCTCATGTGGCACTGACCACAGTGCCTTTGGCTGCCAGCATACTTTCTCACAAGGCCCCATGCAACGCTGCTCCCATTGATGTCACCCTCTGTTTTGGAAGGGCCCAAAGTTTTCTCCTGGCAGCAGCAGTGGGAGAGCATCCCAGCCAAACTTCAGTTGGGTCGAGGCTACTATTGCAACCAATTCAGACAATACAAAGGATGGATCTAAGAAGACCAAGAGATGCTTTTGTCTTACTTCAGCTCAGTTCTTTCTGACAGGAAACCAGGCCTCTGTGTCTCATGGAAGAATTATGCTGAATTGTTAATCTTCTTCATACATTCCCCCTTTTCGGTGATGACACACTCTCTGTTGAGTTCAGCTGCTAACAAAATCATTATCTGTTGAGTGGCTTCAATTTGCTGAGAAACCAGTCAGCTTAATGCATCTGATGCTTTGTGCTTAGAAATAGGCATGCTGGAACATCCTTTTTTTCTTCTTTGCATTTCTGTGGTTTCCCAAAGCCTTGGCTTCCCAGCTATACCTCAAAATAGGCTCTGTCCTTCCCACTTTTGCAATGGGCTTACAGGATATTTGCTGTATTTTGGACTTATATGGCTCAAGGAGGAGAGGGAGCCAGAGTCTAAGCCCTAAGCTATTCATAATTCAACCAAAAAGCATACATTATGTAAATTTTAAAGAAAAAAACATGCAGTTTTCGTTTGTTGCGATCAGTTTGCAACCAGCTGTACTGAGATTGGTGAGCTAGGGAGGTTTATACCTGGCAGAAGGGACAAAGTTCTGCCCTTTGATCCCAAGATACATTGCTGACCTAACTGAAGGCATCCCACATGAATAGGGTTGCAATTACAGGTTATGCCTTAAAAAGGCAGGCAAACTCTGCTCCTTTGGCAGCAGCTGGGCCGGGATGTTCATGGAACGGTGGGGGGTCTGTGTGGGTCTTTGTAGGCATGAGGCAAGGGCAGCTCCAGCTGCCTGCCCGCTATCCAAAGCAAGAAGAAACATTTCCAGAGTGCATGGCTGAGCTGTGATGTTCCTGGGGCAGCACGTGCATGGTTTGGATGGATGTTTGCTGTTCCTCATTGGCTTCAGGCTCTGGGCTTGGTAGAAAAAAAATGCCTATATCTTCCTTCAGGTGCAGATCAACTGACATGCTTTGCACAAGAGAGAGAGTTTGGTACATGAAAACCACATGCTTCTGCTTTACCTGTTCAGTGCAAGTTATTTAATGCCCTTTAATTACTAATTATTTATTTGTTCCTTTGGGATTGACTGGTAATGCAAGAGAGGGCAGGGGTCAGCAAAACAGCAAGGCAGGAGGGATTTTTGTTCTAAGGGAAGTGTAATCACACTGACCAGATTTACACAGCATTTTGTTGCAAAAACATGGATTACAAGGGCTGAAAGAGAGCTGTTGACCTACCAGTAATATGGCATGGAGAGGAGCAATTAAAAAGGTTGTGCAGCTAGTGGCACTGCTTAGAGAAAGAGGATGTGCAGGTTATGTGGGTTGAACAAGGGTAGCTCAAAGCCAAAATTGACGGAGCAAGGTAACCTGACATTCGTAGTGTTCTGCAGCCGACACAGGTTTTTTCAGAACTGCAAAGAAAGGGATTGATGATGTGATCATTTATGGGAAGCGTTTTGAAAGGACTGACTCATCCCCACAGATAGGGCTGTGGTGGCTCTCCCAGCACAGGAGTGAGTGAAAGAGTTAGAGCATGGGTTATTTCAATTGTTCAGAGCAGTTTTGATTGAGATGGTGAAAAAGCAGCTGGTTTGCCAAAGTGTATGTTTACCTTTTTCAGTAAACTTTTCATCAAGTAAAATGCATTTTAGGAACTCTTACATCAAAATAAAAAAGGCTCTGACTTTAAAAACACTGTAATCTGGCTGTTAACATGATATTGTTCAAGTTGTACAGATTGGTATGAATGAATGTCAGTCTTAAATTCCCATGAGCTCCCAGCTGGGATGTGAATTCATTGTCTGAGCTGTTGGCCCCATGTGCATGGAGTGGACTGCAGCCCCTGCCCTCCCCACACAGCCAGTGACCCTCTGCACACCTCTGCTATCCTCTGCAACCACCATGGGGTCTCCTGAAAGTTAGTGGATAATTCTGGATAAATCTCCATTGTGCAGAAAGGAGGTGGATTTACATACTGCTCAGCAGCAATGATTAAAATCGCAGCAGAGATCAGAGGCTGCTCCAGTATCTGCTCATACTTTTAATTCAGCAGATGTCTGCTGTGCATCGGACCGTAATGCCAGCTACAGCTGGCTTTGAAACCATCCTATCTGCCTTCCCAGTGTGTACCTCTTGTTAGCAAGAAGTCCCAAAGTAGTTGAAGATGGAGAAAACAGGACTCCAGTGAGCTGTTCCCATACCCGCTCCTCAGTCAGGGTGCTTAGAGCCCACCATGGTTCTACCGTGACCAGCTGAAGAACACAAAGACGTGTCAGAGAGTACCATCCATTTTCAGTCCTGGCCAGCAGCACCAGGCTCTCCCCTGTTCTGCAACCACTGAATAATCTGTTATCCAGTTAGGATTGCCCTGCTTAGTGCTCAGATGCCGCAGTGCTGCGTTTGGTACAGAGCAGAGGTGTGTGCTTTCATTTCAAGGAAGCTGAATGTAAGTAGATCCATATGTAGCATTTTAAAGGGGTTTTGCTTTTTCCCACAGCAATGAAGTCAGGAGGCACCCAACTGAAGCTGATCATGACGTTCCAGAATTATGGACAAGCACTGTTCAAGCCAATGAAGTAAGTGAAATACCGTCTGGCTGCATTGTATAGCCTGTTGCCTAATTCAAAGCCATTAGGAATTTGGTCAGTATTGCTCGAGGTTGGTGGGGCTGATTGGCTAGGCTGGCTGCTCAGTGTAGGGCTGTAGGGTGTATGGTAACCTTGCCCTGCCAGGCTGGGCTTCGGAGCTTATATTTCAGATGCGTTTTAGTTTTCTCAGGAGTGTTACTCATTCTGATCTCTGTGGAATCTCCCATCATAAATATAGGGTATTCTCAGTATTTCTTTTTTATGTAAATGTATTCTGCAGGTCTGAGCTTTATCCAATGTCAGTTCTCCTCTGGAATATGACCACATGTGGGAGATGGCTCCAAATAGTTTTGGGAAGACCTGAATAGTATTTGTCTGATTAATTATAATTCAATCCACTGGTTGTCTGTATTGAAGAGCTGAGTTAGTCATTTGACTGTGGCAATGCTGACTGTGAAATGTGTTCATTTGAGTGTGATGGTACAAGGTAATAGATCTGGAGACAAGGGGAAGGGCTGGGATGAGGCAGTGATGATTTGCACCTGCATCAGGCTGGCCAGATCCCACTGAGATCACAGAGGTTATTCAGGCATAAAGGAGAAGTAGAAGAGTTCCAAACCCTGACCTCTGTGTTTGTGTTGTAATAAGGAAAATGACTCTGTGCTTGTTGTAGATGGCTTAGCAAAGACTCTGGGTGTTGCAAAATGTTTAATGAAGCTACTCAATATCTGTGTCAAGGGTACCACTGGAATAATAAATTCATTTCCTTCTTTTGTTCCCACTGAGGAGAAGATACATTAATTATCTCTAGGATGCCCATAAAGGAGTAAAGCAGTTCAGAATGAGTGGTTTGGAATACATACTGGCATTGTGTTATGGCTCTAGTGGGGAACACAGCTCGTGGGGTAAGCTGCTGGTTGGGGGCTGAGATAAATTCCCAGTTTTACTGCAGATTTTGCTGTAGACTGACCTCAGACAAGTACAGACTTCACTTGATCTTATTTGACTGCCAGAAGGGACAAATAATTGGTTCCTGCTTGCTTCAACTCAAGCCTGAGCAGGAGCTCACCTTGTGTGCATTTATCCTGGGGTTTACATGGAAATCCTTTGAGTTTCCAGGCACAAGGATATTGTGCAAAAGCAAGATGCCTCCATGTTATTGCCCACATTACACACAAATTTCTCCATGTGTCTGGTGGGTCCCTAATTCATGGGAAGAGTTCAGAGGAATCAGAGATATCAGATCAAAGGGAAAGTGCTATCTGAGAGTATCTACTCCAACATCTTCCCTTTCTCTGCCTCTGCTCTGAATCCTCAGGTCATCAGATCATCAGTCCATGGGTCCAACCCCTACATTTGCAAGTTTGGTGCATTTGAGCACAATTCCTATTTGTTTCCCATCCTCCATGGCAAACCAAGAACTGGGCACATCTAGGGAGCCTTTAAGAACAAGAAAGAATCATGGTTGTGCAGTTGGCTTTTTACATAGGGTGTGATTTGTTTCTTCTCCATTTGCTGAGATGCAGATAATTTCAATCTCTATCTTTGGTATGACATTGTAATTTTGGGAATGCTAATGAGGTTAAATCAAAAGTTTACTGCTTCTACCCTGCCTTGGCAAGATGATGGATGACAATAGATGTATAGCCACTTTCCTGTACAGAAGCAATTACTACCATCCACCAGCACAACAACAAAAGATGATGATGTCTTAATCATTCCCTTTGCTTAAAGCGAAGGGCAGCAATATCTTATTTCCTCCCTGATCTCTGCATTAAATACACATCTGGAAAAAGCAGCTTTAGAACATTCAGCATCTGTGTTCCCAGGCACCACACCTTACAGCAGTAATGCTGCTTTGTGTTGATCATTGCCAAAGCACATTAGTGATTTTGAATAAGAATGTTTGCAAGCATTTGTCTTCATTCTGGTAACAGTGAGCAGGGAGCCAGATGCTCGCCTAGTGTAAATCTTCTGAGCTCCTTTGGCATCTGGTCCCATTGGCATCTTTCACTAACTTACAGAAATGTTTGTAGCATCATTTCTTGATATGGAAATAAGCAGCCCAGAACTGAAAACAAGCAAGCAAACAAAAAAGTCAGGCTTTTAAAGCAATGAGACTTCTTGTAGGACCTTACTGAGCACACAGACAGTTTCTGGTGCTCCTTTTCTGCAGGGTGCCCCCCTGATCCAGGCTTCACACAGCTGGCTGTGCCTTCCCAGTGCAGCACACCAGGGGCAACTGACAAATCAGGGCCATATCTCCTAAATATACTCTTGTCACAGCACTGATGGTGTGAAGGGTGTTTAAAAAAATAAATTAATTAGAGAAGCATGAAACCTCACCTTCTGTGATCAGCTGGTCGATGGATGCACTTGAGAGCCAGGAGGTTCCCACGCAGTACATCCTCTGTGTTTCAGTTGTCACTGGGCAGTCAGCTCCATGGCTTTTTGTAGTAGCAGAAATTATGTTTTTCTCTCTCTGGAGCTGATAAGGCCCTTCATACAAGCAATCTTCACAAATCCCAGGTAATACACTTGTTAAATGGCATGAAGTGCCCAGCTGCAAATGAAAAACCAGAGCTTGAGTTCATCACCTCAGTGCTGTAGAGGAGGCAGTAAGAGTTACATCTCCATACTGAGCTGAACTGCATTACTGATTTTCAGAGAACAGAGCTGGCATCTGAGTATTTCAAGCTTGAACACAACGAAAATTGATAGTCCTGCACTTCTCACCCTGCCTGGAATATGAAGTTCTGATAGCTGAATGTTGTGAGGTCCACAGAGGGTAATGTGCAGGGTGGGCCAGTTTGCTTGGTTTTGATTCGTTTGAGCTAGTTGGAAAACTGGTTTTGCTACAGATAACTGCACCTGGCATCCCCTGAACTGAGCTAATGCCTTTTTGAGGAGGATACCTGCACAGCAAGGAGACGAGGGAACCCTTCGCAATCACAGCCAGGTATCTGCTCATGAAAGGAGAGGTCTCCATCCTTCAGCAATGCTTTCTGTAGGAGAGCCACAGCAAAATGTCCTCCCTGGGAAGCCTCTTGGAATGTGCAGAACTCGTAGAACTTGTTCTGCCCTGTCCCAGCCTCCTAATTCCACGTTGCATTCATCCAGAGTGTAAGCCAGCTCTGGAAACACCCAGGCGGGCTTTGGAAATGGGAGAAGCAGAATCTGCCTTTGGCACTTCTGTGCTCAGTGCTTGCTGTGCTTGGTGTTAACTGACAGCTCTTCATCTGGTCATCGATCCAGGGTAGTGGAGCAGATGAGAGGCGGGGAGCTTAGCAGTCAGGGAAATGTGATAGTGGTAAATAAAGCCCCATCAGCTGCAATTATTTTATTTATCTGTGGCTCTGCATCTTCATTGCTGAAATAATTGCCCATAAAGGATTGCAGAGGAAGCCAGATCTATTTATAAATCCTATGGCCCACTGTAGATCCCTTTGCTAGTTCCAAATGCATCATAGAAAAAGTGAATATTTGCTAAAACTCCAGGGAAGATTTAATGTATTTGCAATGTATCTTACAGCTAATGTGTAGTTTTATTTAGCTCGTAACACTTCGATCATACAAAATTATTACCAGATGGGACAGGAAAAAAATAGCAGCCTCCTCTTCTCCCATGATTAGCGTGTCTAAATTCATTAGTATTGTAGAGCATAAAAAAAATTATTTATATGATTGCTGATAACTGCAGTCACAGCTTTCTGCATGACTTAGCAGGTAAGGATGGTGTAGAGCCGTAAATTCCAAAGGGTTTTGGCTTATTTGTCCAAAAAGAACACGTGCTTTATATTTTTATTTGGTTTCCTTTTGTTCTGTGAGCTGGTGGAGTTGAACAGCTGGCTCAGCAACAAAGCCAACACACTTTTTTTTTTTCCCCAATGCTTTATTCTTGAGGAGGGAGATCCTGCGCCAGCGGTCAGCATCAGGACTGCTCTCAGAGCCAGGATTTTGAGAGAGGTTTTCACAGTTCCTTATGGAGAAGCCAAATAGAATCGAAAAGCAAATGGTATCTTGTGACAGGAATTGTGAGCAAAGTGTCGGACAGTCTGTGTTTAGCAATGGCATTTCTCACTGCCAGTTGTATGGACTGCTTTGTACGAATATGTAGGAATGGTATTCATTAGGAAATCTTTGAGGTTCATTTGTTCTATTGAAGAAACACTACTGTATCGTGTGAATCCACTTTTGACTGGAAGAGGTTAAGGCCAATTCTGTTCCAAGTTCAGAAGTTGCCTGATATTTTTAACATCTTTTTCCTTTTCTCCTGTTTTTACAAGTCCTGATGTAGGGTTGGTGAGAGCCACGTGGCTGCTCCTCCAGTAACTGCTGCTCGCAGTTACAATCTTTAATAAAGCAGAACTAATTAGCATCAGGGTGATATCAGGCCAGAAGAGTCTTTTAGGTCATGAAGTCCAAGCTCCTTGAATCGCAGGCAATCATCTCATGCAATCTCATACATAAACAGATCCAACCCTGCTGACCCTGTTTTTGTACCCTTTGTCCCTTCCGCTCCTCCTGAAACCCACTGCTGTGGTGTCTTCCGTGTTTTGCATTAATTGCAATTTAACAGTTTAATCGCAGAAGTTTGTTTCTGTGTCTTCATAGAAGAAATGCTTCGTGCTGACACCTATTTTGCTGGAGTGTCAGCTGGCAGGGTGCACCTTCCAGCATGGACAAATCCCCAGTCCCCAGAGGCAGCACCCTTCTTAGCGCCAGCTGCAAGATAAGTAGTCAGCATGTACAGAGGTGCTGCTTTATAGAAACAAACCCAGCACGCTTGCCTTCTAGCTTCTGTAATGTTCCTGTAGCTCAAAGACACAGGCACTGTTAGCTGGGTTGAAATCTACCAGCCAAGGTCATGGGAAAGATAATATATGTGCTTCGATTGGCAAAGCACTGCTTTTTATTGACTTTTAAATGTCATGCTTATAAAGGCAAAGGATTAACAGCCTTCTTGGAGTTTCTCTTTGATTTCCTTT